TTTGAGAAATATTAAGTATACCTGGACAGGTAATGATCGCCACAGAGCTGGATCCTTAATGAGAGAAGGAACATGCCACTGAAAGAAATTAAAATATATATAAAAAAAAAGATAACTTACCTAGTCACAGCCTCACCAAAATTTGAAGAATGGTGACAAGTGGAAGACAGTACCCTACAAAAAATAAACAGCTACCCAATGAAGATAGTGGGAGATGAACGTATGAAGTGTTGTCCTCATGCCCAACAGAAGGATTTCCTTCAATGGACGACAGAGGTGAGATGCCAGTGAAAAGGTAAGGTGCCTAATCTGATGTAACAACACCTGGAACAGAGTTCAGGAAGAAAAAGACAAGGATGAATAATCCAATCAAATCAAAAACCAAACCCAATTGGTAAGGGTGGAAGAAGAAAGGTCATAAACAGAAGAATGTAGCCTGGGAAAGAAAAGGTGAGAACAGGAACCACAGAAGGAAGCCATGCAAGCAATGTCATAAAGAAAAGCATGTACAAAACATAGAAGTCCATACAGATCAGACCAAGAATAAAGGTGGGAGATGGAAGGAAGCAATATTGACAAGATGGAAGAATTTCCCTAACAAGCCGCTGACGTTTTGGGGAAGAAAGATCTATTTTGGATAAAGGAGAACATAGGTGGGATGGTACAGAGTGCATGAAACATCCATAGCAAAGATATCAGACTGGTGACACCCACAGGCTAACAGGAGTAGGAAATAAGCCATAAGAGACAATTGAAACAAAGAACAGGAGGACAAAGGTTCAAATGGAGGCAGATTTAGGCAGTAAAGAACCACATAGACATCCCAATCTGGAATGACTGCCCAACAAGGATGTCAATGAAACTGGAAGGAATGGAAGAAAAGGGAGAGGTAAAGACTAAATGGTATCGGGAAAATGGAAGGTGTGGGATGATGCTGCTCAATAATCAGCGATGGATGTGACTGAAGTCCTATGACTGAACAGCCAAGTGAGGAAATCCATAATAAGAGGAACAGTGGGCTGAGAAGGGGAAAAACTCTGACTCAAAGACCAATGGCAGAAAATGTTCCATTTACGCTGATATACCACCATTGAAGGAAAACCTTTTTGCTAAAAGGAAGCTACCTGCCAAGACACTTTGGATCTCCTTGCCAAGTACCTGATAAATGCCAGGCATGAAGACAGAGGGTAGGAAGAGTGGGATGAATTACCAGTGATTGAGGTTGACATAGAAATGATGGAGTGAGAGAAAGAGTCAGGGAGAGGCAGTTTAAAGCCAAAGTAGACGAGGAAACCATGGTTGTGTTAGCAAGTATGGAGCAATCAGAAGGACCTGACACAGAGAGACATGGATGATCAAAATCACCTGGGGAAGAAGTCGGATGAGAGGATAAACATAAAGGTACCATTTGGTCCAATCATGGCTGAAAGCAATGACAGCTAGGTAGAGTTAGGCAGTAAAGAACCACATAGACATCCCAATTTGGAATGACTTCCCAACAAGGATGTCAATGAAACTGGAAGGAATGGAAGAAAAGGGAGAGCTAAAGACTAAACGGTATCGGGATGATATGAATGAGGAACCTGGAGACCAGAAAAGAGGTAATGTGAAATTGAGGAAAGTGGGAGAATAGCCACTGGAAAACCTGATGATTGAGAGATCACTCCATGGGATAAATTCTGTCTAGTCTGGAAAAACAATCCAACATGAGGTTGAAAGCACCCATAACATAGGAAACAAGGGGATGTATCCTAAGTGCGTGGGGGCAAAAAAAGGACTTCCAAGGTGCAATCTCAAAAGGAATGAAAACAGGTGCCCCCTTGGTGATTGATATAAGCCACGCCCCATAGAATTGTTGGAATGGATCATGACAAGTTGAGTCTTTACAAGCGGAAGAAAGTGATCCATATTACATTAGAAGCTCCTAGATCTTGAGATGGTAAGGCCTCTTGGACAAAAACCATTGTCCAGAAGCCTCCAGTTTGTTGACCAAAGCACCCCAACCATGGAGGGAAGCATCTGTGAGGAGATGCAAATTTAGACAAGGTGGAGAAAGTGGACCACCCAATGACATGTGGTCATGTTTAACCATCAATGCAGATCATTGATGAGGGAAAGAGGAAGGATAATGGGATCCCGACCCAGATCTCATTGGTCGTGCAGAGTCCACTTAAGAGACTGCATATGTGTCCATCCCAAGAGGATAAGTGCTTCCACAAAAATCACATCCCCATATACAATAGAACCTTGCAAGCAGGAAATGAGGTATCAGCAAGAGCATGGAGAACTGAAAGCTCCATCAAACGGATTTGAAGAGGCAAAGGTAGTGCCTGAGTGAAGTGGGTGTTAAAAAAACAGTTGGATTAGATATTGGGAAGGTAACAAGAAAAACTTCTCGAACTTTGTAATCCAACCTACTCAAGCTACTTCTGTCAGAAGCAAAGGAGTGTGTTGTAAACCCAAAAAAGGACATATGGAGCTGAACCAAGCCCAAAGGGCAAGGTGCAAAATTGATACACAACCTCTTGGTGGACAAACTGAAGATAGCATCTTGATTGATGAGAAATAGGAATATAGAGATAAGCATTTGAGACACCTACCTTGGTCATTCACAGTCCTAAAGAAAAAAGCCTACCTCAGTATGAGAAAGGAATCCATGGTAAAACAGGGACGATTCAAAAATTGGTTGAGGCAGGAAAAATAGATCACAGGACACCAGACTCCAGTTTTCTTGGGTACCACAAACAACCTAGAGTAAAAACCTAAGGAATGATAGCCAACAGGCTTGATAGCTCTCTGTGATAGAAGAGACCATACTGCCTCATACAGATATTGACTAGTTGTATGATCCTGAGGTAACGGAAAGGATATGAGTACTGGATATAACAGGGGAGGGGAAGAAATTGGATGAAAAGTCCTTTGGACAAAACCTTGGATAGTCCATGGATCGGTAGTGAATTCCAACCAAAGGGCAACAAAATTGGCCAAACGAGCCCTATTCAACTAGAACCCACAGGATAGTCATTGGTATTGCTGGCATTGATAAAACCTACATTGAGAAACATGACAAATGGTGGAATCCCTATTGGTAGGAACAGGTAAAGAAAGGGAAGGTGAAGGAAGTGGAACAGTAGCAGAGGATTGCAAGGGTTCAGAATGAGACAAATGAGCAGCCAAAGATGAATGAGTAGAATATTGCATCACAAATTCCACATGTGATTCCAAGTTATCAGGAATGTCCCCCAAAATTGACTGATGGAAAAAAGAGCCATCTGCAGCTTTCAAAGATAACTGCACAGTAACTGAACCTGGGATAAGACAGCCTCCCTCCCGAGAAGCTCCAAACAGCAAAGAAACCACGTGTGAAGGGAGAGAATTAAAGAGGACAATCATCCAAAAGTGGAGGTAATGAGAAAGAATGCATCTCCCAAAAATCTATTAGGAGATCAATGAAATGCCTCAGAAAGGAGTTGTATGGTGGACAAGCACCATAAAGGTAAGACAAAGGCAAGAAAACTGGGCATGGGATAAATGGATAGGATTGTCAGGGTCAGCCTACCCATACAGGCAAAAGTGATCCTAACTGCTGAGAATCAAGAAAAGGGTAATCTACCTGATGGTAAGCCAACATAAAATGATTTGAGACCCATGGAGGGCAAAGGCATGGTAGCACCTGCTTGCAAGTGAGAAACAAAATGTTCAGCATGAACCCTAATGTCAAGAGTAAAGGGAAAAACAAAATATTGTGAGGAAGGGGTGTCATATAATAAGGAAGGAACAAGAATATAAGAAATCAGAGAAACAGATAAAACAGAACATACCTGAGAAGGCTGAGTTAGGGCTAGCAGATTACACAGGAGAAAAAAGGCTGCAAGATCCTCATCATCAAAAACAGGTTTGGCAGATTCAGGAAGAAGTCTAGGAAAAGGAGGTAAAAAATCTCCCAATGAATGAATGAAAGCCAAAAATTCTTCAGTCGAGTTCCCTGATCTGAAGTCTGTGTAACTGTGCTGGAAGTAGGTGATACAATCTCAAAGCAGTAACACGAACTTCAAAATTCATCATGTGATGATGAAGAATTGGAAAAAAAATAGATCAAGAAAGGTAAGTTATCATGAAAATCTACAGAAATAAAAATATTTCCACTTTGTATGAAATAGTAGAGAAAACAATGCTTGAAGCGAGCACAATCAAAAAAATATATGCACTAGAACACTGCCTAACAAGAAGTGATAGTTCAGTAGAATCAAATAGAAGGAGTCACATGCATCAGGATGATGTGTCACACTCCCATTGACAGAGTTGTCACAGGATGATTTGCATGCAAGATGCAGTTGAGCAACAATACTCATTGGGTATGTGGGAGTACAAGGCTTGTGGCATGTGAAAAAGTTTTTTGCATATAGAGAGCAGTATTGAACAAGAATAGCTATATATGTGAGAGGAGGTAAGTACTGTATCAGAAACTAAATTTATCTGCTGTCAAAAATAGTCAATCGTCATTTCCAAATTTTGGAAAATTATCAAATGTTTGTTAGTAAGCTGTAAACAAAGATAAAATAAAAAATTCTATACTAAAAACAATAAAAACTAGTACTGTCTTTTAACAATAAGTACACCAAATAATTATTCTCAGTTTTGATGTTCTATGTTATGGCTCAATGTTTACTGCCGACTACTGATCACAACAACAAGTAGTGTAGTTTATAACATAAAGTACACCAAATACAAATTCTGACTAATTACCACAACAACAGTTAGTGTAATTTTTATAATAGTGAGAACAACAACACTACATTTGGAGGTGATTATAAGTGCATTCTTCTTACACTCACATAGTCAGAAACATTAGTAACCTTGAAACATGTTAGAATTACTTTGGCTAATTTCTCAGAATGTGTGAGTTTCAAGAAAATCCTTATTTGTATATTACATCTAAAAAACGTACATAGAATGTTTGACTAGCTTCCCAGAACTTCTATATTTCAAGAAAATTTTACCTGTATATCAGGAAATCCAAATACTGTTTGGAAGAACTGATGAAACATTCTCTCCATTGCCTTGGCTCTAATATAGTAACCTCTTTAAGAAAAAAAAATGTGGGTGATTTCATTAAGCATAGTATTTTAGAGCTTTAGAAATCATAATAACTCATGTATATACAAAATATAAAGTTTGGTAGGAACTGATTATTCGTTTATACCATATCTATAATACTAGTGATTTGAATATTTTCAGGTAAGGAAAATATTAACTTCTAAAATGCTACTTACCTCTCTGCACCACAGAGAGCCAGAGTCCCACATTGAAAACGATAGAGAGGCCAGTGCTGATCAATTACAAAGATGAGCTCCTTTCTGAAAGCATCAGTAAAGGGTAAAGCCCATGAAGTATGACATCCATGAGGTGAGGGTCAGCACTCAGTGGGAGACCTCTTTCATCTCAAGCAAAGAATGCTCTTCATCTAATGTTACTGTGATATTCATTGTTAGGAGAGGAGATACAGTGAAAGAAAATGTCACAAGAATCTTTTGCATGATGCTAAAGTGGATAGAATGTGAGATTGCTCAATCAGCCATTATCTCACAGGTGGGCAGATGAGGCTAGAGCAATAAGTCAGGCCATTTGATAAGGAAAAATCTCTCTCTCTCACTTTAAGTACTATCCAGACAGAACTTTAGTGATCATGACCTTCCACAGGTTCTTATCCTTTGTTCATTTCAACACTTCTGATTCACTCACATTCATCCATTTACCAAGATTATTCATGTAAGTCAGTATTGGCTTACCTCTATTTTGTTCCCTTTCAATTTTTCCTGGTACAGCTAAATTTTCTAGCTTGTTTTTATCTCATTACATGACCCAGGAACTGGAGTTGTCTTCTTCTAACTGTTTTTATCATATCTCTGTGTGTTTCTGCTCATTCTCAGTTCCTCCAAATTCATCACATGATCTGTCCACAATATCCACAACATTCTTCTGCAAATTCACGTTTCAATTGCTTGTAATTCCCTTCCCAAAGTTAGTAAAATTGTCCACTGCTATATGTCAGAATCAGATATACATAACAAGGTAGCATTCTTAGCTTGGTTTCTATTGATAATTTCTACCTTTTAATAAATGTTCATCTTCTGGATAGCCAGTTATGCTCCACTTGAGTGCCACCCTTCAAAAGATGTTTCTTTTATTCTTGTTGGGTGTCACAGTCACCCTCCCACTGATCATCTCCCAGTTCATAGTGGTGGAGTGGGTTTAGTTGTTGGCCAACTACCTGACCCTCTTTTAGTCACATTTTACAATATGCAGAAAATACAGTGGACCAGAATTCTTGTGCAGCCAAATAGGAGAAATACTTACCATAATAATCAGGTGAAGGAAGAAGCATCCCAGACCTGTGTCTCAAGGCATACAAGCTGGATTAAACCAGCAAGAATGGCTTGGTTCATAGCATAACAGATTTTCCAGTACTACACTACCAGGTAACATTCCAAATGAGGGGTGTCAATTTGGTCTCATACCAATGGGCTAGCACCTCCCAGAGAGAAACTCTCCATACTGACTTCCCTAGTCTGCTAGTCTCTTTGTGTGCAAACTTCATAATCCTGCTTAAATGTCTAAAGGAATTTTTCTAACCAATTTATTGCTTAGTCAGATAAATTACAGTAATTTTGGGACCTTCTATACTATAATTGATATATTTTTTTGATTCTAAAATTCATATTTGAAACCTACATGAATTATTTTTGGAAACCCAAATTCATGATAAAAAAAAATAGTTTTAGTAATGTAAAGATCTTGTGTTGTTTAGATGAACAGTTTATATATGTATATACAGTTTTTTTCATATCCTTATATATTATGTCTGGTATTTATGAATAACTGACAACTTTGGCATTATATATACACAAATATATATATATACATACATACATAATACCATGTTGAATGGTGCTCTGTTAAAGATATTCATACAATGGTAACTCGACATTATTCGGTAAACACTATGAAACATGCTACTTTGATTAATTATAAGCAGCGTTCTTAAAGTATTTTACACCCCAGGCATGAACACTGTGAACCCCACCCAGGTGCACAGGGATAAAGAATGATAAGACATAAAAATTACTACCCTGCTTGTTTATATAATTAAGACAAGTAGTGGTTTAACTAACATTAGTAAATTAGTATTTACATATAAAAGGTTTTCACCGATTGATTAGCGGTGACCGATGTTGATGCTTAGCAGCAAAAAACTTGAGAAACTTGTCACAGAAGTAACCCCTTGATGCCATGGAGAACTTGCTAATGATGCTACTGTCATTAGTTCCTTGTACCTGAAATAATTTGAAATCAAGTTAGAATATCAACTGCAGTATTTTCTATAAAAGATGATGAAAAAAGATGCTTCAGCACTCTCTATCATTCAAACTGGTTGGTTTGGATCTATAGTAGTACATAAACAGGGTAATGTCTGTCCATGCTACATAAACAGTGTATTGTACATTTATAGCACTGAATTAACTCTTTCAGCATGGAGCTCGGAACCTCGGACAGACCATGTAACCATTTTGTGCTTGTTATAGTTTTCATGCTATAACTTTTAAATTCTTAAGTGAATATTAACGAAATTTGGCATATTATCAGTAAACATTATAATGCTTTCATATGCAAAATATCAAACTTTTTTTATTAAGTCTTAAAGTTTGTAAAGCAATGTTTTTCTCATGTCTTTTTTTTATTTTCGCATGTTACCTATCTATCATTTAAAGTAATATTCATTTTATGATTAAAAACACTTTTATGGATCAGAAAATTTTGAAATTTCACATGTGAAATCTTTATAATGTCCAGATAGTTATCAAACATTTCTTAAGAAAAAACTTATAAAAAATATATTTTATCTGTTATTTTCAGTAATTAATCTCTGTACGGGTTCAGTAGATTTCACCAATTTTGCAACCACCATAAATATTTAGACTAAATAGTTTAAATCTCATAATATTATATATTTATTACATTAACCTTTCAGCTGTGCCAGGCTAACAATACAAAAGTTACAATGACATGGCTCATGTGCACTCATGTTACCATATTAAATAACATAAAACTGACCTTTGGTCTGTACAAAGTAACTTATCTTGGCTATGTTTTAGAAGACTAGTATTTTGTAAAATACAGTCACATTTCAATTATTATACATTATATATGTATATAGATTATTGCTATTTTGAAATAAGTTCTTAAAATTATTTTTCTTGAAACATAGAACAGTAACTAAAGAAGTAAAGCAAACAATTACCTCTTCTAGTTATGACCTTTGTACTCAGTTGCTGCTTGACATAGGTTGCTAAGTCTTTAAAAATTTGCACATGGAGTTTAGGAAACAAAATATTTTTTTTTTATGTTTTATATATACATTTGAATAACGAAAAAATCATAAATTACTACAATAATACCATAGAATTACACTGTAATTTATCAAGCTTAGTAACTAAAATGTATTTTAATCTAAAAAAATATGAAATTTAGAGCAGACTAAAGACACACCCTACCTCGTTAAAATATTGATTCAAAAGAAATAAATGGTGCCAAGCCAGTTAAAATGGCTGAGAAAGCCACTAAGGGGATATTCTGAGCTTCCGATTGGTTATTCATGTTATATATAGAAGTAAGTGTATATAAAATAGGGAACATTTTCAAAAATGGAAAGAGGTGAGCGAGGTGCCACTGTGTTTGATTTATTACATGAGCAATATCTTAGTAAGTTGAAAAGATAAAACCTTCTTATTTTATATTCTAGCTTTTCAATATCTGTAATTAAAGTTTCTAATTTGTATGAAACTATAAAACTTAGTATTTTGACTTCACAAACATTTAATATGAACCAGTGCTGCATTCAACATACCATGTGTCACACAAAAATCAATGTTTATCTGTGTTTTTAATATTTACTTTTAAAATAACAGATTGAGTAATGTATAGTTCTAAAATTTGAATTATAATCTACAGTTTGATATCAAACTTATTGATATAAATTCATGAAATAGTAGTTCAATAAAATTTTGAATGCGAGCCAACAAATGAGATGACATGGCCTTTCACCTGTGACCCGTCTCAAAAAGGTAAAGATAATAAAGTTACTAGTAACTATATTAGATAAATACTGTATTGTCTGTCCATACTACATAAACAGTATATTGTATGTTTACACTACTGAATTAATATAAAAAAGTTACAAGTAGCCATATTACATAAACAGTGTATTGTACATTTACACTATTGAATTATAATGACACTATAAATATCCATACTAAATAGACAGTGTATTGTATGTTCATACTATTGAATTAGAATAATAAGATTACAATTAGCCACAGTACATAAATAGTATATTGTACATTTACACTATTGAATTATAATGACACTATAAATATCCATACTAAATAGACAGTGTATTGCATGCTCATACTATTGAATTAGAATAATAAGATTACAATTAGCCACAGTACATAAATAGTATATTGTACATTTAAGCTACTGGAAAAGATTCTAAGAACAGTATACATTTACAATGAAAATTTTTACAGTTAAAATTATATTTCACTCATTTAGCAATAAAGGTTAACTTTTATGTTGCAATTACAATAAGAGAATGTATAACAGCAAAAGTGAGTAAGTAAATATTCAAGTTTTTCTGTTCAAGACAATAATAAGTCACAAAGGGTCAAAAATTGGAAGAATCACAAAATAAAAACCCAAGCACTTTCAAAATGCCTTATTCATCCCTAAAGAACGAAGGTATGATTCACAAAATTACAAGTTTTAAGTAATTTTCTATGCCCAAATACATTAATAAACATATCAGAACAAGCACTGTTCAGAATATTTCTTCAATTATATTATTAAATTATTTACTAAACTCTTGCATCCAGCATTTAATATTACATTAACACCTTAAGCCAATGATCAGAACCCTTGTATTTTAATTATACTACAAGTTAGGTATAAATCTTAACCAAAAAGTGAAAAACCATCAGACCTTAAAATATATAGAAATCTGCTATAAATAAAGCTCATCCAGCTTTTAATAAACTATAACTTTCTCAACCCATTATTGCTCTTTATCTACATGTTTGGAATAAAATATGGGCAAACTCACAGGAAGTTGACTTTTTGTCTTCAACATGGTTGTGCTATTCCACTTTATTTCTCCTTTGAAGTATCTGATAAAAAGAGAAGTATTCAAAACATCAGCAAAAAAATACAATAGCAGACAAAATAAAACTAACTTTTCACTTATAATACTCAAAATTTCAGCAAAGAACATTGCATTTAATACCAAATTCTTCTTCTTAGCATAATATGTTACATTTAAACACACATTTAGAAAGTAATACTTGGAAAAGAAATCAAGAAAACAGTGTAGAAAAATATTGTAATCCTCAAATAAATGATTAAAAATAGGTAACATACGTGATATGAAAAATAGGTATGATAGAAATGTCATGTTCCATATAAACACGAATAAAAGTGAAACTCTAAACATTATCTTCTATTGTGTGTGGAACAAGGAGAGGGGAGATAGATTTTAATAGTTGTATGTCTCTTGGACAAGAAGTTTTTTCATAAATTCCACACCCTTGAAAGTGGTTTTAGTAAGAGGTCAGGGAAGCCAAGCTCAGAGTATTGGCAAAAAAGTTTGATGAGGCAGTTAAGAAGATGAGACTGTACTAAGGGTTCAGTACTTTAGCCTTTGCACTCCAATATTTACATTAATGATATTGAAGTGTAATTAGAATGTTTGCCAATGTTTAAACATTCGGGTATTTCTGACTGTGGTGAAAATGTTAAGGTATTATAGAATGACTTGGGTCAATTGATTAGTTTGACAAATATTAGATTTAAGCCTTTTTAATGATTTTATGGGGCCAAACCACTCAACAATGTATAATTTAGGATCCCGTGCAGTCATATTTATAGCAATCAAAAAAGTTGAATTTGCCCATTTTTAATCACTGTAGGAAGGGTCAGAGCTCACAAAAAAAAGAGCATAAATTTTGAAGTTATTGGTCAATTACTCAGCGATATTTTGACCAATTTACATGAGATTTGGTCCAAAGATACTTTTCTACAGGTCCAACACATTAACAAATAAAAATGATGGACCTGTCCATTCTTAGTAATTCTAAAGTGTCAAGATGCCACAAAAAGCATAATTTGTCTTTTTTGACAATTACTCTGCCATATTTCAACCAATTTACATGGGATTTGGTACAAATATATGTTTTTACAGGTTCCAAGCAGCGATATTACAGTTTTCAGTTTTTCTGATGTCAAAATTGGCCATGTTGAGATTGTGTGGTGGAGACATGTTGCATAAAGCCATAAATATTAACCTCTCTAATTATAATTTAGATCATGTTTAACATAGATATGATATTGCACAATAGCATGACTGAAGAAATTAATATTTGCACATTGGTGGATAAGTCACTCAACCTATCAAAGCAGTGTTTTGCTGCTAGTACTAAAGCTAACAGAATTTCTGAGTGTGTTTATAGATACATTGAGTACAAGTCAATAATTAATTGGGAAAAGGACCCATTTTCAAAATGGGGAAAATTCTAGTGCAAGAAGTTTGAAAATTGGGAAAAATGTATAGTCCAACTATTCATATTTAAATAACAGCTCTATTAATTATAAAACTGATACTCTGTGCTTACTGGCACATATCTAAAACAACAGTCTGGTTATTCTGTATTGTTTATTAACGTATGTACCTAGTCCTGGCCAGGCCCAGGTTTACTAAATGTGTTTGTGGAAGTGATAAAATTTGTGGTTGTTTGAAAGTTTTATTTGTGATTTTTGTTGTATTTTAATAAAAAATTTTATTTGTTTCATCCTGATTGTAGCAGAGTTTTGTTTTATTCCATTACGGTACAACATGTAGTTATGGCAACTGAGTTTAATGTTTTTGTTAATAATTAGAGAAAAGTTGTGATGAAAAATAATCAGCCTTTTAAGAAATATTCTTGATTTGTAATAAAAATGGCCACAATTTGAGGAATGGGACAAGATTCCAGCCCCAATATATATATACACAAACCACTGCAAGTCAAAGACATAATTCTCTCTCTATGCATATCACTAGTTATGAATCACCTGGAATACTGTGTACAGTTTTGGTCTTATCTAAGAAAGGATACTGAATTACTGAAAAAAGGTTCAGAGGAGTTCTACTGGGATGATTCCAGGGATAAAAAAATTATTCTACAAGAACAGTTACAATCTCTCAAATATTTTCTTGAGAAAAGAAGGATAAGAGATAATATTATTGAAGGTTATAAGATTATCCATGGAAGCAATATGACAAGCTAGGTTCCACCTGAAACAACTTTATTTTTTTAATAGGGTCATTGGCTTATTAAATGCGATCTAATCAGAAGTAGTGGATGCCCACACTTTGCAAAAGTTTAAGGGGGAAATTATGATTTCCTGAGATATAAATGTTGGGTTTAAATTTTTACTTTTCTCTAGTGTGTGTGTAAAAGAATTGTCTTGACCTAATGAAAAACTAAATCAAATGCCACTTATGGTTCACATCCTTTGCAAGTTTTATGTTACATTACTTTAAATTATTATGGGAGGAGAGAAATTGTGGATTTTCTTTCTTCACGAATGCAACTTTTATGTTTTACAAAAGGAACGCTCACTTATACTGTTATAGTTATAATGCTAACTCAAGCTTTACTTTCATAACTTTTTATTGGTTGCTTCAGTCAACATGGAATGTTTTTATTACTAATAGAAATACTGTTAATAATATTAACACTGTGTTAGTATTAGTATTACTACTAGTACTATTACTAGTATTACTATTAGGATAAGTTGTAACTAAACACATATGAAAAACACTTTACGTGAATTTCGTTATTTATGTTACTTTGCAAAATTGCATGTTTTCTATTATATCGTTAGATGTAATGGATTTAAAATATCAAATTATATGTAGTTTTGCAATTAATTCAGTAGTGAATTCTGTAAAGTGTAACTTAACTCACCGACATCAAACTATACCACTACCAGTTGTCCTAGAATAATTCCTTATTTTGTTTTGTGGTCTTAATATTGAAAATAATGCAACATTTCGCCCTCTGCTGGACTTGGCATTATTTAACATAACATAATGTTTAAGGACAAAAAGGGACATATTGCTCCATTTCGGCTGTCCCATCCTCTAACCTACGCTAAAACTATCAAATAAATAAATTTAAGAAATAAAATAAAAATCTTAAGGCCAGCCCTTATCATTCATATAGTTATCAAGCTTTCTCTTAAACTCACTTAAATTTACCGCCTCCACAACATCCAAAGGTAACTCATTCCAATGGTCAACAATCCTGTTAGAATAATAAAACTGTCTAAACTGAAGATGACTCCTACCTTACCAACATTTATTTTTTTGTCCTCTACTCCAACTATTTTTGTCATTAAGTATGAAAAAAGATGATGCATCAACACTATCAATTTCCGTTAAAATCTTAAATCTCTCAATCATATCAACTCTCACTCTTCTTTTTTCAAGAGAAAAGAATTTTAAAGGTCTTAATCTCTCATCATATGATAACCCTTCCATCCCACACAACATTTTAGTGATCCTCCTCTAAGCACTTTCCAGCAATTCAATGTCCTTCCTAAGGTAAGAAGCCCAAGACTGAATACAATACTCCAAAAGTGGCCTAACCAGTGGCCTGTACAATGCAAGTATAGACTCTTTCGACTTCTATTCAATATTTCTGTAGATACAACCTAAAATCCTATTTGCCCTACAAATCACTAGTAACAGCACACTACTTGGATGGCTTTAGAGACTGATCAACTCTTACACCAAGATCCCTTTCCTTCATAACACTGTTCAGGTTATTCCCATCCAAATAATATTCTTACGTCTCTGTGTTCGTTTGTTAATTTTCCGTAGAAATTCTTTACGAAAAACTTCAGCAATACAAGTCCTTCCTTAAATAAAACTAGTTTATTCTTTCTCAATACAATTTTGCAATACACTTAATTTCCACAGTCACGCTATAACTACCACTATAATTCACAACGAACGATTCACGCGTTTGATTCAATTGTCCGTCTCTATCTCTGTCTGAAATTCAATTCCATTGTTGCCGTCACTTCATGGCGGTCTTATATACAAGAATACCGCACATCCAGTAAACACTCGTGCATTCACGAACCTACGAGAATATCATGACGTGTTACTAGGTCACGTGACTTCCGCTGTCGTAACAATATTTATAATTCAAATTGTAATAACCCACATGCATTATTTTGCATTTATTATAATTAAAACTCAGTAAATGATCCAAATCCTTTTGCAAGTCACCAGCATCCTCTTCAGCTAGCAACACCAAGATCTTAATACCATCTGCAAATTTAATTACTTATTGACTATTCCTTCATCTATGTCAATGCTGTAAATGAAAAAGAGCAAAGATCCTAAACAGTAGCTCTGAGGTACCTCACTTATGACATTAATCCAGTTTGACTGAATTTCATTTGTTCCATCCAGCCACTCTTGTACCTAATTTGCTAACTTATCTCCCACACCTATAGAGATAATTTTTTACAAGCCATTTATGTGGCACCTTGTCAAATGTATTGTTACGCCTCCAGTCGTTAATTAATTTTCCGTAACTTCGTTCCCACGAAACTTTAGCGACACAAGTCCTTTCTTAATAAAACTGGTTTATTTTTTCTGAATATAACTTTACCGATACACTTATTTTCAACAGTCGCTCTATAACAAACGCTATAACAACGAACGTTAACTTCAACAATACTTCCTGACTGCAGTTCAATTACTCACTACCTACACACACTTGTCACGTTGTGAGCGTCTTATATATATACCAGACAAACATATATCTAGTAAATGCTAGGGCATTCACGAAGGGACAAGATAGTTCTAGAAACGTGGCGTGACACTAGTCACGTGACCTCGCTGACGCAACAGTACATAATTTTCCATTATAGCTGCATCTCATAGTGGCCTAGCAATGCGCCCCTAACAACGTGTCTCCAGGTGGCGAAAATGTGGAGCTATTGAAGCAACTGGATGTTTTTAAGTGAATTTTACAATTGTTTCAGTATTTTTTGTGTTTAAGATCTTAAGAAAGAAACGAAACAAATTTAGGTTTCTGGGTGTGCTATACATACATGAAGAAATTGAGTATGCTTATATTATGGAATTAGGTCAAGAACTAGGAGAAACATAGTTAGCTGGTTAGTTAGTATTGAGAATCACGAGTTACGAGTTATAAAAAACGAAGCTACAGTGAAAACACTGAGAAAAACGAGTTTAACAATGATAAGTTACTGACACCAATCTAGTAGTACAGTAAAGGCTAACAAAAAGTTTATGATAGCATCTAAAATTGGCACTTTGATGTAGGATTCGTTACTACACACTAGAGTAGTAGCACAAGTGAGAAGGAACCGAACCACTCATCATCACAGTAACCAATTACTTGAGAGTTTTAGTTCTTGTTTTGGAAATGCCCAATGAGTTGCAGAAATTAGCCAATGAAGTGTAAGAACTACTTATGGGTACTTAAGAATACTATTTTGAAAATTAAAGGATACAGAGAAAAAACTCATCTCTGGAGCTGAAAATCAATTCTTCAGTCCAGAATAAAAGATCCCCAGGGGCTAGTAAGTTATCCAGGACGAATTGAGGTTTTTTTTCAGAGCTGACAACAGTTCTCCAGAAGATATCAAGTTCTTGACCACCATGAATATGAAGATATCCAATCTACAGCAACACACCAGCTCAACTTTGATGTAAGTAAAATAGCTATTTCTCTTGTTCAATCAATGTGGTTTGGATAAGACAGAATATCAATCATATGAAGGAAGTTAACCCTATCACCCCAGGTATCCTTTACTATGCATGACACAAGGTTTTAGTGTCTTACATTCAAATTGTTATTAAACTACTTATAGTTTATGTTATACCAATTAGAATAGTATAAATTCTCAGCTAATAATTCATATTTCAATAGTATAAAAGTTTTAAGTTCTTAATTCTACAAGGCAATATATAAAAAAATCCTGAACTTCCACAACATAACACATTTTCTCTTAGCATGTCATCATCCCTATTTTATCCACCACCTCTCAAAAAAGTACGAGATTAAACGTAAATTACTCTCTATAAAATCCTTATTGCTCAGACAAACCATAATTTTTATAGTCGTCAATTTTGTTTGGTTACAGAGCTATCGAATAGAAAATCAGACCCCTTCTGCCACACCCACCTGTCACATCCTCTTTTTCAGAATACATTGATTGTTCTCTCTTGTGTTTCATTATATATTACCTATAACCAATAGAAAGTCAAGGTTTACATCTATCAAATGACGTATTATGTAATATTATGTTCTGAACAGCTAGAATTCAATTTCAATCAGAGTAGCAAAATCATTCACATGGGAAAGTTAACGACTAGCTTGGATGAATTCGTAACAGCTCTTGTTGCATAGTTAGAAAGCCAGATTTTAAAATTTTGAGAGGTAGGGGAATGTGTCTACTTTTTGCATGTTATTAGTTTATGTTCTTTGGTGAATTATTTAATTAAATAAAATTATTAAATGCAATACTATTAGTACTATAAAATTAAGCTTAACTGTCATTGACAATTGAGAGTAAGAAAAAAGAATATTGGGTATGTACCTTATTTCTTGTTTTTCATATATATTCTTTACTTATTATTATAAATATAACTAAAATCTCAAATTATGGATCATTTTAAGTTATTTAAGATTAAATTAGGTAAAATAAGTAATAATAATAATAATATATTTAAAATAGTTCATGAGGCATGCATAAAAGCAATTTGTAACAGTTTGTGGGCAATGTAATTCAGTAACACAATGTGACCTGCATGTTCTCCAAGGGATTTACAACTTTTTACGTGTGGATAGTAGTTAGACATGGTTCAAAGGACAATAAAACAACAAAATTTTAATTATAAATAGATGTATAATATTACTAACTTAGAGCTACTTAGTATAAATGAATGTAGTTTCATGTTATCATTTGAAATTATCCTAGAAAGAAAAAAGGGTAATTTAGGTTTTTTCAATATTTGTTTTTGGTGGTTGTGAGGTTGGTCGGATTGAGCATTCCCATTTTGAGATAGGGTAAAGAAAATAACAGATAAACTATAAAGTTTTACTAAAAAATGTTTGAAATGAATTTAGGAGGTTTTAGGGATTACACACAGAAAATTTGAGATTTTTGAAATGAGAAAAAGTATTTTTAACTTTAAGATGAAAATTACTTTGCACACGGACTATTCAAAACAAATACTCAATATATTCATGGTCAAATATTTATTTTATTTTATTCAAAATACTTCACTAAAAATAAAATTTTCTGTGTGTGGAAGACTAGTAATGTTAACTGAAAGACTGCCAAATTTCGTGAAGATATACACACTATATTGAGAGTTATAAGTATTAAATGTATAAAGACTTTAACTCTTTCGACAAGGGCTCGGTCCCTGGGACCGAGTCACGTGACCTTCTGTACTCTTTTTAAAGTTGACATAAATCTAATACTTATAACTCTCTATATATTGGGCATATCTTCACGAACTTTGGCAATCTCTCAGTTATATTGAGTATTTGTTTTGAACAGTCCATGTGCAAAGCAATTTTCATGTTAAAATTAAAAATACTTTTTGCCATCTCAAAAATCTCAAATTTCCTTTGTGTAATCCCTAAAACCTTCTAAATGCATTTCAAACGTTTTTTTCACTAAATCCTTATAGTTTATATGTTATTTTCTCTACCCTAATCTCAAAATGGGATCGGTCAATTCGACCGACCTCGTAACTACCCCAAAAATTAACCTTCTTTTCTTTCTAGTATGACTTCAAATTGTAACTTGAAACTACATTAGTTTATCCTAAATAGCTCTAAGTTCGTAACATTATGCATCTATTTATAATTAAATTTTATTGTTTTATTGCCCCTTGAATCGTGATTAACTGCAATCCATGCCATTATAAGTTGTAATTCACTCGGAGAACGTGCAGCTCACGTTAC